TTCCATACATCTTTCAAGATATACCCACTGCATGACTCCTCTTCTAAGAGATCATTCCTAGCCCTTTACCCCTGAGATATGACCAAGTTGTCTCCTCTCCTAGCACAGCATTGACTAGCGCACAACATGAGCCCTCCAAGTCAGGGATTGTGTCTGGTTACTTTTGTGATTCTGGAACTTAGGATAGGCAAGGCAACAAACAGAGTTGATGTGTGTTGGTTTATGGATGAAAACGGAAAGAACACAGCTATATAACCATAAAATGTACCTCATACCATATTTTTCCAGAGGTGGTAATGGGTTTTTACTGATTCATTCCACTGTATCCTTGGATAGGTAACCAGAACTTCAGTCTTGGCATAGTGTTCCTTTGCATGCCTTACTGTCGTCTTCATCAGGGAGTCTGCAGTCACCAACCAGCAACCAAGGCAAGCTATCTGTGCTTACTCAATGGCGTAAAATCAGTACAAAGATGCACATGGGGGTTATAGAGCTCTACCTTCTTACAAGTCCTATAATAAAGATATAGTTGTAGGATATATACAGAAACCAAAAACTAATAATCATAAGAGGCATCCCTTGCCTGATGGCATAGGTCTGGTGAGGGCTGGGGTACAAACACTCATTCCACAAAACAGCAACAAAAGTACATGAGCATGGGGCTAATCCTACGTTGAATGTCTACAAGAGTTCTCCTAAACTTCTTGTTGTTTGTTCCAGTAGACAAGTTTTATACATTTTTCAGACATCTCTGTTTCCAGGTTTCTAGAAATCCAGCTTCCCTCTCTGTCTTCAGCTACTGGTCTGAAGTCCAGCTCTCATCCAGATGTTTGTGGATGGTTGTGCCGTTTTGGCAAGGTGCTGGGGCCTCAATACCTGTCATGTATTAAGCCATATAAGCTTATTTAATTCTTCATTTCTTGGCCATCTGGGTTCCTATACAGGATTTCCACTAACCAGCTCTCAAGCCTTGCAAAACTAAACATCTCCTTAAGACTCAGTTTCCCTCCTGTAAGTGTGGATAATTTCAGTGCCTATTTTAGGAGTTGTTAGTAAGAGGAAATTAACATATTAGCTGGCAAAAGTCAGCATGTCCTTCCCTTTCAGCTTGGGGGTGCCAAAGTCCATGAAACATACACAGGATGGTTCCTGGTGGAAGGGAAGGTGTGGGAGATTATATTGCATCCAAGACAAGAATTTAATCCATCAACTTTCTGACTAAGCAGTTACTTTGTGCCAGGTACTGGGGAGATAGGTGAAAAACAACTGACGGTGGTGAGCAGACACACACGCAAAAGGCAGTGACAACACAATATGACAAGTGCAGTAGCAGAGGCAGTCCCAGGGGGGTGAGGCGCTAAGCTGCCCGGGGCTGTGAATAAAGGCTTCACACAGGAGCTAAGTCTCCAGCTGACATGGAAGAAAAGGTTCCTGAAAGCCAGATGGGGACAGGGTTCACAGAGAGTGAACATCTCAGTTCGAGGAACATTGGCTTGGTCAGAGTGGCAGGATAAAAGTGATGGAAAACTGAAGTTCTGGAATCAAAGACCCTGGATTTCAACCTCAACACTGGGACCTACTAACAAGGGTGGCATGAACCAATGTCTTAGCCTCTCTGAGCCTCAACCATATTAAAGATGATACTAGTGCCTGCCTCAGAGAGTTGTTTTCAGAATTAAATGAGACAATGCACACAAAGCATTTAGCATAGCATCTCACACTCAGCAAATCATTATAATAACAACTGTTTATTGAGCTCCTTCTCAATAAATGTTGTATATTATTATTATCTGGAAAATGAGGTGTGCCTGGCTAATGAGACTAAGTTTTGCCTGTTAGCAGAAAAGATCTATGGAAGAGTTTAAACAAGACAGTGAGCTGACCATATATGATTAATAGGAAATCACCCCTAGAGAGTGATAGAATATGAGGGAAGGCTAAAGGCTAAGTTATGATTATGAAGGAGGCTGAGAGTCAAGAAACACCAAATGATGAGTTTGGGCAGCAAGAAGTGGGAAGGAAGGAACAGAGACCAGAGGTACTTGGGAAGAACAATCAATAGGACACGTTGATCCATTTGTGCAGAGGAGGAGGTAGGGCAGTCAGGGAGGGTCAGGAGGTAATTCCCAGATTTCGGAGAAGAGAGAGGAGCAAGTTTGGAAGGCAAAGTGATGAGGTCAGCCTTGGTCATGCTGGGGGACCTCCCAGTGATCAGGTTGATTGGTCTATAGGCCTGGAGCTTGGTGGCAGTGCTCCTAGAGCTGCAAAGACTGGGAGTTCCCAGGCACGAGAACCTACTATGTGAGCAAGTACTCATTATCAAAGGTAAACAACAGGGATCCTCGAGGAGAACCCCAGCCTGTAAAGGATGGGCGAGAGGGGGAACATCACAACAGAAAGGAAGGAAACAGAAGGGGGACGATGAGGCACAAGTGCTGCCATGGAATCTTCCAGGAGGAGTTACAGGATGCAGTAGCCAGAACAGGTGACATACAGGCAGAAAAGTGGCCAACTGTTTGGAAATAGAACATGAGGTGACAGTTTTAGGGACTTGGAAATAAGACTCCTATGAATTAAGGAGCAAATTAGAGTAGAGAAAAATATACTCATTTGAGAAACTTGGCTTTGAAGGAATTTTTTAAAAATACATGGTAATAGTTAGAGGGGATGTGGAGTCAGAGAAGGGTCATTTTAGTTAAATATGAAAGACACAGATATTTTTAGATATTCAGACTGAGCTGATGGACCATATGTTGACCCTCTGGATTTTTCCCAGATCTCATCTCATACACTCTAGGCCTTCACCCTCACTTCCATTTTCAGTGGCTTTTCCTTCTTCAACTCCAGGCCGCACATCAGAGGTTCCAGATTTCCTAACCTACTTAAGGCCTGACCTTCCCCCGACACAATCTCAATAGTCTGCCCCTCACCCCACAAACCACAAGTTTAATAACAGATACTTCTGGTGCCACTTCATCCCAATCCTGTCCCTTTATGTTCCCTTGAGAGTCCCAAGGTAGACCAAAGCAGGGGGCAAACAGAACTCTGGAGACCTTTTGAGGCACAGGCTCCTGAAGTTCAACTTCCCAGAAGCCACCACTTGTCTACAGCACCCAATGGGGCACACAACTGCACAGGCCCAGTTGAACATTTTCTGTAGCTAACAGAGGTGAACACAACCTCACAAGCCCCCCAGTCCACAAATGCTCCTGTCTATTGCTCTGCCTATACCTCTAGTACACCCAACCAAAGAGAGGTAGATTGTTCCAGATTGCCTGGCTTTCTGCTCCTACAAGTTCAGAGGGGAATCCAGACAAGCCACCAAGACCCTTCCTCTCCACCCCCTCCTGCCCCCGCTAAAGCTGGAAAAGCCTGCACATGCAGTGGAAGGTGGGACACTGTGTCCAAATCAGCTCACTTCTGGAAACATAGCTAGCTGGACACACCAGCCTCGAACCCCATCTTCAGTTCTCAGGGACCACTTGGGATAGATGCTCTAAAGGTGGGCTAAGGAAAGTTGTGAATATCAGGGAACAATTAGGAGTGTGAGTAGGAGGGTTTCTGTTTTCTATTCCAGACAATAATAAACACAAGGTCATCTCACACCAAACCATGAGTCAAACTACTCAAGTCATAGCTATGCCTAAGGGAATGGGCACAGCAAATGCATTTCCCCTAATGGGCCAGTCTCATGGACTGGGAGAAGAAGATGCTGGAAGACAGGTACTGTCTGCCTCTACTACTTATGCTTCCCCTTGGTCATCACCTCCCCTCAATGGAGACACATAGCCCCACTGTCACATGAAAGATCCACATCCATAGATCTGTCTAATAGGCCCCTTCCCTCACCATCCCCAGGAACAAGAAAGGCCATAGAATCAGGTGCAAAGGTACTTTCATTCAGGATAGCTGAGGAACATCTCTCTGCATCACGTGTAATTAGTGGTGTCATAGCTCACACATTCCTTTAAAACACAGGAATGTATTCTCCAAGCCCCATACACACACACACACACACACACACACACACGGGGGGGGGGAGAGAGAGAGAGAGAGAGAAAGCAACAGAGATGGAGAGAAAATGCCATCATCTTGCAGCGAATTTTAACAGGTTCTCCTTCCTAGGAAATAAATTCCAATCAACTGACTGCCAGAAACAGAGGTTACAGATTCATTTGTGTATCTCTAACACACCACATCCCTACCTGCCTCTGCCCCCAGAAAGCTTCATGCCTTAAACCTGTGTCCCCCTCTTATTTTTGAGTCCACATCCATTTAAGTGCGAATTTCTAGCCCTAGATTAGAGCTGTCCAGCGGAAATTTCCACGATGATGTTCTCTATCTATGCAGCACAACATGGTAGCCACTGGCCACGCGTGGCTACTGAGCACTCGCTATGTGGCTCACACAACCGAGGGACCGAATTTTCAATTTTATTTTAATTACATTAAATTTCAATAGCCACATAGAGCTAGTGACTACCAAATTCGACAGTGCAGCTCTAGCACCGAAGTAAAAATCTGAAACTTTCAGAATGGGGGGGGGGGCGCACACTCTGCAGGAGAGGAACTGAAAACCAAGAGGCAGTGAGTGCTGATGGACAGGGTGGGATCACCGCCCGCCCCAGGGGAACACGGCAGGTCAGAGGCACCTGAAGACCACCTTGAGCTGAGGCCAGGGCTCGACAGGACCTACCAGGGTCCTAATGTGGGGTGGGAGATGGACATGAAGCCAAAGGAAGGGTCGCGATGGAGATGGAGAAAGGGGAGGAGAAGCTACTCCCCCCCCCCCCCCCCGGTTTTCCTGCTACCACCAAGCCTACGTCCTCCTTAGATCCTCCCTGTAAATTTTAATGGAAAGACCATTAAGTATCCCCCGGAGCGAAGCCCCCATTCTGCAGAGGGATAACGGAGGCCCAGACAGAGCCGTGCAGAGCACAGGTGGATCTGCGGAGGGATCGCCCCAGACCCCCCCCCCGCCCCCAGCCCGGGAGCGCCCCCCTACAGGAGGGCGGAGCCGCGGAAGGAGAGCTGCAGGTAGACCAGGAGGAGGCAGACGGAGGCCCCGACCAGGCACCAGCGAAGGGAGAGGAAGCTGTAGCCCGCAGCGTCCTGGGCGCTTGGCCTGGGGGCCCCTGAGATGGCGTAGGTGGAGGCCTCCTCTTCCAGCAGCTTCTCGCTGGGCTTCCAGTGCGCGATGCCCTCCTGGCAGGCCTCGCAGAACTCGGGGCGGTGCGGGCCCGCGTCCGGGCGGCCGGCCACGTGGATGCGGTACTGGCCGCCGTCTTCATCGTAGCACTGCTCGCGCAGGCTGGTGATGAGGTTGTCCACCAGGCCCTCGATGTTCTCCTCCAGCATGCTCGACTCGTCCAGCCGCGCCGTGCCGCACTCGTGGCACAGCTGCTTGAACACGCGCATGCGCACCGAGCCCGCCCGCTGCGCGCGGTCCAGGTACATGTGGAAGAGGATGACCACGTGGGCCGACTGCCAGGTGTGCCAGCACCAGGAGCAGTGGAACCTGCGGGAGGGGAAGATGGAGATGCTCGGCCTCCGTCCCAGCAGGGGATGGCCAGCCTGCCCTGGAGGAGGAGCCCGGGAAGGAAGGGCCCTGTGTACCTGTGCCTGGAGGTCAAGGCTGCCCGGTCGCTCTCCCCTGGGTTCCTTATCGCTCCGCAGGCTCTGCCTCCTTCCCGTGAGCTCCCCTGGGCCTGGAGCAGTGTCCTCAGGAGGCTGGCACTGGAACCATCTGGCTTCTAGCACTCTCTCCAGGCTGCCTCCTGCACACTTTCCTGGGGCCGCCGCTCCCCCTAAGCCTAGTGCACTCACAACATGCACCCGTATGCTTCCCAGGGCTCACTCCCCCAATCTGGGCCTTATTTTTCATCTGTGGATGCAGGGTGATGAGGTCCCATAAGGCTCTTTTCACTCACACCTCCCCGGCCTCTACAGGTCTCACTGATGCATCCTGCCTGCCCTGGGGAGAAAAGGAGATGCCTCTAACTACTGGGCACAGACCAACAAGAATTATTCATCGAATAACTGTCAAGAATCCATCAGATGAGGGCACCTGGGTGGCTCAGTGGTTGAGCATCTGCCTTTGGCTCCGGTCATGATCCCGGAGTCTTGGGATCAAGTCTCACATCAGGCTCCTTGCAGGGAGCTTGCTTCTCTGCCCACCCCACCCCCCCATGTCTCTGCCTCTCTCTGTGTCTCTCATGAATAAATAAATAAAATCTAAATTAAAAAAAAAAAAAAGACTCCATCGGATGGACTGGTGGTTGGGTGATGGGCCAACAGGGAGAGGACGGGGGAGTTTGGTCCTTATACCTTCACAAAGAATACTCTGTTACTCCTTGATAAGTCATCCTTAGACCCCAGTCCAACCCTGCCTGGAAAAGTGGATCCTAATCTGCATCCTCCCCCACATGCATACATGCACACTTACATACACACAGGCCGCACTTTAGACTAGTCAGCCTGCTAGAGTCCCAGCCTTAAGGATAGTGGAAAGAAGTGGTCTGAGACTCAAGTAGCCCAGGCCACTCCCTCAGCCCCACCCAGTGCTTGCACACCCTCAGTGATGGAGCACTCATTACCTTCAGGACATTTTCTCCCATCCTGAGAGGAACCTCTTCCGGGACCCTGTTACAACAGCTTTACAATCGAGGGTCTACTGGGCCCAGTCTGCCCTCACTGCTGACTCTCTCTGGGTCCCCAGAGATTGTTTAGCATGGCCTAAACAATCTCTGATGAAGAACTCGATTCAGTCCAACAGACACCACCTAGCACCTACTTTATGCCAAGCACACATAGTCCAGGCTGTGGGGTAGAGAGGAAGCCAAACCTGCCCCTGAGGCCTGGATCCCACAGGCAACATTAGCACAGAACAGTAGCCAGCACAGTGCAAGGCAGGGTTGGCCAGGAGAGCAGCCTGATTAGTCCTAAGTCAGAAGGGGGTCCCCACTCATGTAAGACTAGAGTTGTGGGGCACTAGGATTGATGCATCCTATGACTTACAGGGAGAGTGAGCCTGTGCACAGGAAAAGCACAAGAGCAGCCATTCTGAAGCCCTGCTTGAAGCCAGCTGGGGGTCACAGGTCACCAGCCAGGAGTAGGACCAGCTGAGACCTGAGGCAAGGAGCAGCCACAAGCCTGTGGAGCTCAGCCCCTAAACCCCTGGGCCCAGTTCCTAGCGCTTTGAACTCCTCTCAACAGCCAGCTCAGAAGCTTCGTGTTTTCTGTCCCCTCCTTCTACAGCTTTTTAATAAAGCCAATCCAGAGTTCTTTTCTCACCCTCAAGCTAGACTTCAGATCTTAAATTTCAGAAGAGCAGACCTAGTGCAAGGGGACCTTAAGGATCTTCTAATTAACCTTTCATTTTATTGAGATGAAACAGAAGCAGAGAGAAAGAGTCATCCATGTATGCAAAGCTAGCCAGAGACAGAGCCAGGACCCAGCACCTAACAGATGCACAATAATGTCTCTTGAATTGATCCGAATTGAAATAAACCAACCAGGGTCTACCTCTCTATATTTTGTCCCAAATACAAGTTCACTCTAATATTTACACGTCCTAGAACAAGAGTACAAACATAAGCTCCCCACCCCCAGCCTGCCTCCTATTGCCACCCTCAGCAGCTGGCTCCACCATACAAATATGCATGAATCACCCAGTCTGTGTGTCTAAGGCCTGCGTGTCCACACCCCTAGAGCACAGCCACCTGTTGGCCTCCCTGGGGACCTAGAGACTCAGTAGACTTAGGAAGAGGCCTGCACAGGCCCTGAAGATGAGTTTGAGGCAGCTGGGCAGGGAATTCAGTGGTCCTGACCCCAAATCACAGTCTAGAAGGAGAGGCATGTGGCTTCATATAGATATGACCCCTTACACTCAAGGACACTTTGCACCATGGAAGTCATGAGGTTCCTATAAAGTACAAGATGTTGGGCTTTAAGAACCTAAGGGGAAATCATGCCCAAAGCTAAGTCTTTTTGTTATTGTCTATTGACCGTAGACAATAGAGCCAGAAGGGTCTTAACTGATCATCTAAGGCCAGCTTCCTGGTTTTGCAAGATGTGAAAACTGAGACCCATGAAGGGAAAGGACTTGCACAAGTTCATAGAATTAGTTAGCTGCCAAGGCAGGTTCCAGAACATAGCATATGGACAATAAATGTTTTTGTATTCAGATCAAATGGGACTGAGTTGACTAAACAGACCTAGGACCAGAGCACAGGCTCTAACCCTAAGCTAAAGTTTTTCTCAGTGGACCTTATGGCCTCCTCCCCTCAGTCCCCACCATTCCTTACGAGGTTATGAAAATGTGAAAACATCTGAAGTGTCAGAGATTGTAGGGACATTATAGTTCTTTGTTTATTGTAGAAAACCAAGACCCAAAGACAGAGCACAATTTGTGAAGATCACGCAGGGAGTCGGCGGTATAGCTGGGATTAGAACCCATATCTCTTTGACCCACTTGGAAGTTCCTTCTCTGCCCCCTAACTTGAGCAACCCCAGGACCAGGCTCTCGGTATATCTTTGACTCCCCTTGGGAGATGTCCCCAAGGCTGCCTGTAGTTCTCTCCCCCCTGGGCTGCTTACCTGCCTGAGGCATGTTGCTCCAGATACTGCTTCCAGCCAGGGGCCAGCTCGTTGGGCTTGAGGTTGGGGTCTATGATGAGTTCCCAGCTGTCAGCTGGCTTTGCCACCTCCATCTTCTCATAGAAAACTTTCTTCCACTCACAAGTGGTCAGGCTGGTACACATGGTCTTGCTGTCAGGGATGGAAGTTTGAATTCACTCTGAATGAGTACACAGAAAGAGCCCAGGATGCAGAGCAGCTCAGTCTCTGTGATCTGAAAATCCTCACCAACAGGACCAGGAAGAAATAGGACCCAGTAATATCCTTTGTCACCCTGGAACCTGTTACCATGGCAGCTGGGCAGGAAGCCAAGAGCCAGGCCTGGGGAGGAGAGAAGTCCCAAGAGAGAATTCTAAGGCCCAAAGCTAGGCTTGGGAGGCAGGGCTGGGTAGTGACAGAGTAGAAAGAGCAGGCAGGGAGGCTCAGGCCCAGATCACACCCACCCAGGCCTTCAGGGGTCTCCACCCTCCTGCTTCAACTACTGCTTCACCCTACTGCTCTTCTAGGCATTTTGCACTTTGTGTGCTATGGTTACTATGACACCCTAGGGAGCCAAGGAGAAACGAGGTCTGAGGAAATGCAGAGCCTGCAGCTCGCACACCCTCTGATGTGTGGGGACCATCATTCACTATGTGCCAAGCACCAACTGTTTGACTTGTGTGCTGGCCAAGGTGGGAATTAGAGCCTCATCCAAGACTCAGATCCAGCCGTTCTGAAACCAAGCTCATTTGTTCATTTATCGCAGTACTACTGAGCTCCTAGCAAGTAGAAATTGAGATAGAAGTGAGATGCCCTTTGCTCAGAAAGATCTCAAGCCAGTCATGAGATAAAATGCAATCTAATACCCTGTAAAAAGCACGATGATGATGTTTCAGATTCCTAGAGTCATAGAACTGTTAGAGATGGCATTTGGTTCCTGGTCCCAGGCCACACCGAAGAAGCTGCAGGAGGAACAAGTTTGTTCTGTGCTGCAAGCTTCCACTGTCTCAGCTACTGCTGAGAGAGGCCAAGGAATGGGGTACCCTTGGCTCCCTGATGCCCAATACTTTAGAGACTCCAAATTTGCATAATTCTGATGAAGGTATAGATGCGGGAGGGAGACAATATTGGCAAGGAAAGGACCCGGTGGTTTGGCAATTTGTCCTGGTTCTGCAGCATATCTGTTCAGCCTCAGAACCCAGTGGTTTCCCTCAGTGGACTTCTGTCTTCCCGCCTGCACAGGGGAGGCTGGCTAGATAATATCTAGGGCCTCTTCTAGTCATGATAGGCTTCTGATTCCACTACCCAGAAACCAGATCCCTGAAAAGGTGGAGGCACACAGAAGGAACAGCATGCAACATGGAAAAGGTTGCTGGGAACTGGAAGAGACTTTTCAGTGTTGAGGTCCAGTCTTGGCACTTGTCTTCCAGTGGTTTTTGCATGGGATAAGGTCGAGGATGATACCTCTGCCTCATCTCTTAGAATGGGGACATGCTCTCCACTAGCTTTGTGCCAAAGACTTCAAAAAGGACAAAACTACTTCCTAGAGCCCTTGTTCTAGAGTTCCAGAAGTAACTCTTCTTAGAAACATGATTTCTTCTTTGACTTCTTTATCTCTCAACATTGAATTAAGACACCTGAAGCTCAGAAATGAGAAATTACTCAGCCAAGGCCTCAGAACTGGGCTGCTCACATCTCCCTGGGGTCAGCTACCAGCCTAGGAGAGATGGGGGACCCATGGGTTCCCAGGAATTGAATGAATTGAGGAGATAATGGCCCAGGCTGGAGCCACGTGCCAGGAATGAATCAGAGAAATATTGTATCATTGTTCCCAAAACAAATGACAGAGAGAGGAGAACCAAAAAGATAGAGGGTGCAAATTGTCAGGGTTTATCTGTTTGTTTCTACCCAAATGATGCAATCCCCTTAGGCCTAACATCAGGTTTAATTTAGAGTGGGAGCCCTCTAAGCAGAGACCAATGTAATTCATCTTTCTGTGCAATAGCCTTGTTTTCTCAAGAAAAAACGTGTGCTTACAATACAACCAATGAACAAAGTTACTACCTCAATTTTCTGCAATGGCACTGGGTTGCTCCAGAAGCCACAAATTAAGAGCTCACTAATGTAAAAATGTGTGCAGCTGTGGCCATATCACATACTGGCAGTTTCATTATACATCGCTGCTGTCTTTAATCTAGATAATATTTTTAATAAAGGAAATTTTATTCTTTTATAAAATAAATTACTATGCACCTGTATTCTATAAAGTCAGCAAAGGGGAGAGGGATAAAAGAACGAGTTTCTTCTCCAATTTGGAGTATGGGTTAATAAATATTAATAAATACTTTTGTAACGTGTTCATTACTGAAATGTTACTTATTTGAATAATACAGGAGATGACAATGTGAAGTATAGAATATGAAGGTAATAAAGAGCTGGGAAGGTAAGTAGGTATCACTTGAAGGCTTTTGGAAATTGCATGTAGCACTTACCCCACAAATTTCAATACACAGTCTTGCAGAGGGATATACCCCCTCTACCCACTCCAGGCCCAGAAAGAACCCCTGTCATTGTCATCCATTATTACTGATGGGAATATGTTGTTCCAGAGGTATTTGAGGGCCAAAGAAGAAAAAAAAACAGTTAAATAAAACTGACTTAGTGGTTTGAAATATTTCTTAACTAAGGCACAAATCCAGAGAAAATTCAAGCTATGTCTGGTCTTCCCCTAACAATCCAAAGATCCATGGAAGGTGCTACAAGACAAATCGAAGATTCCCAGAGGATATTTATCAACGGTGGTTAGGAAGGTCTCTCCATCCTCAGGATGTAGCACGTGGAGGGCAGCATGGCCCAAAATCTACTCTGAGCGAGTATGGACTCTGAATCTCGGAACATTCACACAATCAGAACAGCTCTCTGTGAATATAGTGAAACTACTTTCAGGAAATATTTCATGTTTCTCTTTATCAGTTGGTAGCAACCAAGACAACTGCTGTCAGGCTAGATCCTTTTCCTATTGGAATTCAAAGGTCCAAGTTCTATAGGCCATGCTTCAGACACTCCAAAGTCTGTATTACAAGTAGCCATATCTACTGTCACTTTTTTCAGGATCTTATCCTAGGCAAAAATTTTGTGAAGAATTGTCACACTATGTAAGGTAAGTATGTAAGTAAAAAGAGTGCTCCCTGCTAGGGAAAAAAGAAAAAAGAAGAAGAAGAAGATAGGGGTTGATTGAGTCAGTGGCTCAGGAAGAAAGAACACAGAATTCTCTGCTGAAAAGAGACAAATTCAGAGAGTCTGGAGATACTTTCAGCAGATAAAGGCTAGGCTGAATTCTGTCCAAGATGTTGAAGGCCTCCATCAGAGTTCCTTAGCTATGCTCAGAGCACCTGCTAGTCTCTGATGAGCTGAGGCTCAATACATACACACATAAATAACCATAGCTCCTCTCTGGGACCTTCCCAGGCATCATGACAGAGTGATAAGGAAGTGGAGAAGCTTATGTTAGTTCTTAAAGCTTCCAACCTAGAATGACATCCATCACTTTGCCTCACATTCCATTGGCCAAAGCAAGTGACACAGCCACGCCTGCAGTGGTGCAGGGAAATATATCTTGCCAAAGGTGGAGTGGTGTTGGGAGGTTTAGGGAGTGGCCCTGAATATTATGAACAACAATAAAATCCATCACAGCACCCACCTGAAACAATGGAGCTGAACAGGTTCTAGGGTGCAGGGCTGTTATATATATGATACATATTTTTTTAAAAACCAAGAACGTGATTGTCACTATGTCAAGATAGTAGTTAGCTCTGTGCAGAAGGGGAGTGGTGATTTTAATAGGGAATTATTATATATTGTGGATGGAAGGATTTCCAGGGGGCTGGCAAAGATTTCTCTGACAGGAGTGTGTGTTATGCAAGTTTTCAGTGCATAATTATTCTTTCAATTGTGTGTATCTGTTTTTTGTGCTCTTCTGTATATGTGATCTATTATACAATTTAAAAGAAAATAGATACCACCCCTGCATCTCCCCTTTGATCAGATTGTCCCAAGGTATCAGCATCTAGCAATGACTTGATGGCATCTGAACATTTTCATTTAGATGGTCATAGATCATAAAACTGGAAAAGGCCTAGAGAAACCATCATGTCCCTACCCTGATAAAGGTATTAGGTAGATGAGCAAAGGAAGGTCAAAGAAAGAAATTAGGAGAGACAGTATCTAGCAATAGTAAGCTCTCAGTAAGTGTCCCAGGATTTTGAATGCATTCCTTTTATAACACCCACCACAAATATCATTACATTCCCTGCACAAGACCATCTTACTCATCTTTTATGTTTTCTCTGGTGAGTATCGAAACCTCAAATTCATAGTAGGTGCTCAGTAAAGCCTTGTTTAATGAATGAATAGAGGCAAGATTTACTGTGTATATCGTTTACAATGAAGGTTGACTGTGAATTCTAAAAACACAAGAACCATATAATAAGTCTCCACAGACCCCATAGCATATGGATTGGTGTTGTGAATTTCATGCAGTTCATAGCAACAAAGATTTATTTAATATCCGTGATGTGCTAGGATGAACACTAGTGCAGCGAGGGACACATTAATACATGCTCTGCCCATAAGATACCCCTCAAATGCTGGGACGTAAGGGAAATTCCAACACTCCTAGCTTCTTGGAATTAGGTTTACAGTCATAGATCTAGTCTAGAATATTATGTTTTCTGGCACTCTAATCTCAACATAATGCCCATTATCAAGAAGAAGGGAAAACCCTACATCTACCCAAACTTACCCTCAAGGAGGATATCTAATTATTAAATAGACTTCTTACTTCATTCAGACATATCAGACACATCAGGCACCATTTTAAGAAATATCAGAGACCATAATCTGTATGCTAGGGCTGCAGACCAGTCATGTGCTGGGGTGATGCTATTTATTCATAAACCACTTAAGGAGATGAGCTTGAAAAGATATAATTCAATAAGTCATAAGTTCAAACTGGTTTCCAATGGAGTTTTAACAGTATTGCAAAAGTATTTTTATCCCAACTATAATTTCAGCCTTTTCTTATAAAATGATGCTGTAAATTACTTAACGTAATATAAATAATTGTTTTGTCTCTCAACCAAAAGTTCATTAGCACTAGATACTACTATTAGCACTGACTGTAAAAGCATTAGATAATTAATAATTAGATTAGATCATTAATTTTTTGTATGTCCCACTGATTATGTACACTCAAATCACTTTATTTCAAGTGAAAAATAATAAATTATTTATGCTTTGGTGATTTAATCACTTGTCTGATATATTGTATGCTTTAGTTTTATTTATAACTATTTACTGAGTACATGCTATGCTTCCATCC